CCGGGCCTTGCTTGCGCGCCGCCCGCCCCCTCTGCTCTCCTTCGCGTGCTGCGCCGCCGGGTGGGGAACGGCCGAGACCCCGGGCTTCAGCGCCTGGCCGGAGCTGCCTCGCGGAGTGTCCGCTCCGGCTCAGTCCGGCGGGAGGTGAGGCCCATCCTGCCCCCCGCCCCCGGCGTTTATTGTTTTCTACAAAACCAGGTCAGCCGCAAGGTGTTGCTGGCAGAGGGGCGGGTGAGCCGGGCGTGAAAGGCAGGCATCCCGCACAGGCTTAGAGGCACCGTCGTGCATCCTGGAGGTGCCAGGCCCGAAGCTGGCCCCTCCTCCCGCCCTAACCGAGACTCTCTCCCGCAGCAGCGCCCCCTCCGGGCGCCCCCTGCCCGCCTTGCGCCAGCCCCCAGAAGATGAATGCCAGCCCCCAGGAAGCTCTGATCTCCGTCTTTCTGCAGTTCATCGAGGCCCGGGGCTGCTGGTCCTACGGGGCGCTGAGCCAGACGTGCCATCCCCAAGAGCTGCTGCTGCAGAACGAGATGAACCTTCTCTACCGGAAGAGCGGAAAGGTGGAGTGGAAGCAGGGCAAGGACGAGGAGCCCAAGAGGGGGTAAGCGGGCTCTTTCCGCGGCTGGGCAGCAAAGCGAGAAAGAAATCCCCGCCCCGGGTGACATAGACAGGACGATGAAAGCTTTGCCCTCTGAAGTTGCTCTGGAAAGGGGTGGGGGGGTCCAAATTCAGGAGGTGGCCCCTTCCCCAGGGCAGAGGAAGGGGACTTTTTCAGCCAGGCCAAGAAGGGTGCTAAGGGAGAGGGCCCTGTCAGCTGGGCCCTACGCTGTTTAGACCCCAAATGCAAGAACGTAAGCCGTGCCCTGCCGGATCGGACCCCTGGCCCATCTCGGCCAGTAGTCTGTTCTCCCGGTGGCCACCAGCTGCCTAAGGAAGCCCACTCCTCTCCCAGCAAGGCTAAGAGCCAGCGATCCCAGGACTTTCATTAATAGGTCCAGCCAAGCTGGGAGCCAGCCCCACATCTCGGGGTAAATGGACACTTAGCCTTAGCACCTTCAACCCTGGCTTGTTCGCCATAACCGGTGGGGAGTTTCCAAAGAGGCCTGGGGACCAAGGGCACGTCTGGAACTCCCTCTGTGGGGACTGACCACCCCTTCCAGAGCCCCCTTGGGTGACCTGTTGGCTGGCCTGGCTGATTTTGTCTAGGTAATGCGATCCCTTCCGAGGTGTGAGCATTCAAGGCCAAGGAAAAGCGTGGAAAAGCCCTAAATTTATCCCGTCCGACTCACGTCCAGAATAAATCCAGGAGAGCTGGCCTTGCGCTAGAAATATTTTTGTCTCTTACAGAAAGTAAGGAACCTCTCCGTTGCTCTCTCAAGAGCTCCCAAAGACGGTTTCTGATACCCTCTCTTTTTTTATGACTTTTTCTGCCACGGTCTCGTTTTGCATAGGTTGCTCTGCAAGGGGCCTGAGCTGATGACTTGCAGGGGACTGCCACAGTCAGAGGGACCTGCGGGTTATCCTTCTGTCTTCCGGGCTTAAAAGGGCCCCTTTTGTTCAGCAAGGGTGTAACTGTGGTGCTCGTAGCGCTAGTTCAGTTGTATCTGATTTTTTTCAGAGGCCTAGTTTGCCATGTAATACGAGAGCCGCTCTCTTAAAAAGCCAAGTTTATTGTGGAAATTTCGAATGTTGCAGGGTTTGTTTGATACTGAAAAGAACTGTAGGTAGCGTCTTGCTGTAAATTCTGGCTTGGAAGGGATTTGCAGCTGATCTCCTGCAAAGCTGATGTAGCCTAAATGGTCGCCTTGCTTGTTTTAGTTCTGACGTTCATCTAAGGAGCGCTGCTTTGCAGCCAGATACGATTCAGGCTGTGCACTGTTGTCTTTGCAGAAACCTGCATGTCCTCTTTGTTGGGGGCCACGCTTCTGTCTTGCCAGGGGCTTTTCTTTGTCCCCCAGGATAAACCGAGCAAGATCAGGATCTTCCGCCGTGGAAGTGAATGGTCCGGTCTGGAGTGCTGAGGAAGCGGAGTAGCCCCGTCACAAAATCATGGGGGGCGGGGCCAGCCCTAAGCAGCCCCCCAGCCCTGTTTGCAGTGAGGCAGTGAACTGAACTGTGTGGGGCTTGGCTTACCTGCGGACAGATTACTTGCTTAACTTACTCTCAGGTGGGGGGGTGAAATTCTGGGCTCCTCTCTTCATTCCTTTCTGCCCCCTTGGTACTTTTCACCCTCCCCACCCTTAGGGCCGTACTAGAGGTAAAAAAAAAAAATGGGGTTAGGGTTAGGGGGGTTAAGGCCCCCCCCCCCCCTTTTTGTCTCTCACCAGAGGAAAAGCATGAAGGAGGCAGGAACTGGGAAGGAAAAGGTTGGCCTCATCTGCCTTTGAGGAAGCTGGGGGGCTGGAAAAGGGTACCATAGAGAGCCCCATCCCGTTGGCACCTGGCAGGAGTCAGCTGACCCTGGGGGGGCTGCAAACAGGGCACTTCGCCCCTTCTCATGCACAACCTTCGCCAGGGCGTTCCCTGTGGCCCTGCCCCCCCCGCTTGCCCTGATGCCTCCCCTATAGCCAGGCAGCGGCAACCCACTTTTACCCTTTTCTCCCCCACCGCCAATGAGAGGGAGGCCTTCAAAGCAGACCCCCTCCAGCGTGCAGCGTTTTCCCTTCTGCAGAGTATCTCCGGATCCGTGTGGGGTCCGTCAATAAGTAAACCAAGCCTGCTGGCTTCAGCAGGGACAAGAGACGGGGAAGTGATTGCCTGAGAGGAGAGAACAGCTGGCTGGGTCTGGGGGAAAGCGCTTCAGATGGGCAGTCTTTCTTCTCTGCAATAATGTTAGGCAATTATTTTACTTTCCAGAGAACCTAGGCTGGTCTGAACAAAGTGCTTACAAACTGGGGGAGCAGTGAGGCTTAGCCCTAGGGCGCTCGGTGGGAGCGTACAGTTCGCCAGTTCTGCTTCTCGGGCGCTGTGGGATACAGCCGCTGATCTTGAAGGCGCGGGGGGGCCCGTCCTGAGCCCCCCAGCTGCAAGCTGTTCCCCTTGCAACAACGCTGTGCAGACCGACGAGGGAGCCTCCTCTCACCGCCCCGAGAGATCGGCCGCCGCAGACTCCGTTCTGCGGATTGGGGGGCTGTTGTTTGCCCCTGGCCAGACCGGGTGCCGCCCTGTTCCCAGACTCTTCTGCCGGTCGTTGTGAGGCAGAGGGCCCTCGAGCCAGCGGGCCCAGTAAGGCATTTCCTCTTCTCCGAGCTTGAGCAACTTGGCAAAACTCTAGCTTCGGCTGTAAGCGGGGCCCTACAAAAGCTTTCCAAGGCCCAATGAGCCACCATGGTTTGAAACAGGAGGAGCAATATGGCAGCGGAGGATGTTCAAATGCGCATACACGCCCCAGGCGGTTGCAGAGCTCTAGTTTCAGGATTAAGTCCAGCAGGAGAAGACCCCCGTGGAAGTTGAAGTTGAAGTTGAGCAGAAGAGGTTTGAGCTGGCATAGTGTGCTAATCCCTAATACGGCTTGATTGGTTTG